AGGTTACGCCAATCGCAACGTGTCTTGAAGAAAGATAAACTATCAGAAAGAATATCAATGTGTGTGACAGTTTCGTTCTTTTTCACATCGTTGAATTTTTTCGCGAGTTTAATATAAATCTTTACGGATAATCTTCGATTTAATTTTTATACTATAACTTTTCAAACAATTAAATTTTGATTATTCTCTCATCGAAAAAAAAACAGTTTACCAACACCAACAAGAGATGTGTTCACTAAAAATATGTTGTAATCTACAATTTTTTTAGATTAAACACCAAATTCGTTTCTATAACTTTGCGTCAAATTATAACGTTGTGAAACAAGAGATACATAGAAAAAAATTAGATCGGGTTTCAAATGAAACAAAAAAAAACTGCTATTGATTATGAATATTTTTTTAATTATGTATAAATTAAAAAGTATAGCTGAGACATCTCTCTCTCTCGTGGCACAATAGAACAAATTATCCACAATTATCTCTAGATGAAAAAAGTTACATCTCGTTGGATATCTCATCAACTGAATGATGAACAAAACCAAGAACGAGTTCGACTGTGTCGTGAAAATTTAGCAAATTTCGTGATGGTTCCTGGCGATTATGTGATATTATTACAGGTGATGAGACGTGGATTTACCATAGGCAGATTCATCACAAGTCAACAAACAAAACCTGGATTGGCGACGGTGAATCACCGCGTACTATCGTTCGTCGACGCAAATTTGAACGAAAAAATTTATTTTCTATATTCTTTAAATCAAATGCTCCTGTTCTAATACATGCTGTTGATAATGACGAGACTATAGATCACGACTATTATATAGAAAATTGTCTCAAGCCTGTTGTCAAATAAATACGGAAACAAAGAAAGTCAAATGGTACTAAAGGCATAAAATTGCTTCGCGACAATGCTTCACCCCATCGTCATTCAGATGTTATTAATTATTTAACACAAGAAGGTATCAATATAATACCACATCCACCATATTCACCTGACCTTGCACCCTGGGATTATTGACTAAATGATTACATCAAACAGAATTTAACTGATCAACCAGATGAAAAATCATTGGCTCATGCAGTTTCCAAGCTAATAAAAAATATTCCAGAAGAAGAATTTAAAAAAACTTTTGACAAACTATTAGAGAGGATGGAACTTTGTATAAATAATCATGGTGACTATTTTGAACATTTAATAAAATGAAACTCGAACTTTTTCTTTGTCTTTATATATATTTTTTTTAATAATCTGGGAACTTTTTGTACGACCTAAGTATTCTTTTAATGCTCGCAGCATCCGAAATTAAAAAGAAAACATTTCGAAAGCTTTCAAAACTACTTTATTCCATGATTTAACAGCTTTTCATATCACGAAAGAATTATTCCATAAAGTACTAAGCAAATCATACAGATCAAAAGAGACTATACATTGGCTTCATATCTTTAGTTTCTGACCTCAAAATTTCAACACAGAACTGCGTAAAAAAACTGGATTTGACTCACATCTAACAGCAGACTATTGACATTATGATAGAAGAATTTTTAAGTCATTTTTAGGGAACTGGATCACTTGTTTGTAAAAAAAAGGATTTAAAATTGTCCTAAGAAAAATCGAAGTTTCAATCTTTCTAACAGGAATATCTCAAATTCTCCTAGATAAAAACAAATTAAAGTTTTTCCTAATATAATTTTACTTTCTATACTGTAACATACACATTAATGTGTTTACTTCAAAAACAAAGTACCCAGGTGAATGAATCCTATGAGATTCGACTCCCCGACAGAATCTAATAGGATTCCTGGATACTGACCTATTGTCGGTTCCGACGGAAAAATCTCATTTTCTTATTCACGATCGAATAAGCATTTTGAGCCATCAGAGCGCAAGGGTGATTCGTTCTAGTTGGATTCCGTTAAAATCCAACATCGGATCCGATTGGATCCAATACCAAGAATCCGACTGTAGGTGGGTGCCCAGAAATCCCATAAGATTTGGTCGGTTTTATTGAAGCACATATGGTATTCGGTATATTCACTGTCTGACCCTTAGCGGAATCCGATAGGATCCTACTGTCGGAATGATTGCCCTGGGATAAACAAAGTTGCTTAATCCAATTAATGTACTCTTTCTCTTATATGCGACAAATTGTACGGTTACGCATTTTCCCAGCATAACAATCATCTGATCTCCGCATCGTTTTAGAACACTACACTCAGGCATTTGATTTCATTACTTTTACACCATTTTTATTTGGTGAATTCGATTGTTTCGAAAACATCGAAGTCATTTCATTGGTATCATTTCTTTTACATCATTTTCATTTCATGAATTTCCTTATTGTCTAGAAATTGCATTTACTACAGTTTTCTAATGATATTTACACCATTTAAATGATTAATTTTAGATAATAATAGTTTCCGTGTCTGTAAATGTGATGTTCAGAATAGAACGTTACACTAATGCGAACGGATTTGGAGATTTGAATCTTTCATTTACATGAAAATTCAATGATGCTCAAGAGATGAAATTCATTGATGAATTTCAAATAAATGTATTAAAATGTTAGTTTCATTCTGAGAAGTGCAATTTTTTTCATTTTCGGTATCATTAAAATGTTGAAGTTTACATCATTTTTTGCCGTGCTTTTATTCTATGGATAGTTTAGCGCATGATTAAAAGCGATTCATGTCAGTAACATTTTCTAGATCTTTTTTTCGTTAAGAATTAGCTGAGATGACCAAATACATGGAGAATGTCTAGTGTTGAGAGTTGGAAAAANTCGGTATCATTTCTTCCAGCAAAAGGTATCATTAAAATGTTGAAGTTTACATCATTTTTTGCCGTGCTTTTATTCTATGGGTAGTTTAGCGCATGATTAAAAGCAATTCATGTCAGTAACATTTTCTAGATCTTTTTTTCGTTAAGAATTAGCTGAGATTACCAAATACATGGAGAATGTCTAGTGTTGAGAGTTGGAAAAAATTTGGTCTCAACTAACTTCGAAAGAGAGCATAATTTATGAACGATCTCTAGATGAATTCAATTATTATATCATCTTAAGGGGACACCCCACACCCTCAGCCTTGTATCGGATGGGCCAGATTATTTATTCGATCGGGCTGATTCTTTTTTT